TGAGATAATATTTCTGTGTTTCTTATTGGATAATAATTTTATGCGTAGATATAATTTTTTACATTAAAATATTCAGATGACTTATATATGTACTTCTTATGTCGTACCCTATATGTAAAATGGAAATACTCTAAAGCGCCAAAAATTCAATCGAAAATTGGCAACTAGAGTGTTCGACTATGCTTTTCTGTTATGTCTAATTGTGCTGTGGGGTGTCGTTGTTGGAAAGCACCGTGTCCAATGCTGTGTCGATGTGTGTCGCCTAAGAGCCTTGATGGAAAGCATTCAAAGTCAACTTACAGTCGTCTTTAAAGTGGGACATTGGGTGCATTCAGTACTACAATCGCTCACTGAACGCTCAGTGAACTCTTGCATCTGATTGGTATATTCCGTTAGAACTCAAAATATAGACCAAACAGATACAAGAGCTCATTGAGCGCTTACTGAGCTGAATGCACCCATTGTATGACTTAGAGACGTCTCCAACGTCGTCTAAAGTCGACTTATGGATGACCATTTTTCAGACGTCTAGAAGCTATAACTCAGAATCAACTTAAATCGACTTTGTGCTGTTAGGGAAATTTTTATTTTTCTCTTTTTACAAAAAAAATCGCTCTGGAGCCTTTTCTGATTACGAATATCGCAATTAAAACGTGATTCAAGTATTGTTAGCCGTAATTTCGGTACAAAAAAATTCATCTTCGACCAGAGGTCTCTACGGGTCTTTCCTGTCGATCCTTAAATTCTCGGTGGTCCACTGCTAACTGCTACTACTGCTAGTCCACTGCCTGAGATCGGTGCGCAAGTGTGGCAATGGCGTTGTTATATGGATATAGGTTACATATGTAATGTGTTACGTCGTGTCGAAAATCTTGTTTGATCGTACAACTACAGTGTCTGCAGTGTGTCAAGATTCTCTTTGAATTAATCGAGCAATTTCGAGATGAACGCGAAAGAAAATTCCTCGGCATCGATGGCGAAAGGTACAAACGCATCGAACGCGAAACTCTACGGCAAGATCGTGTTGACGTTGCAAAATTGTCTCCTGCCTGAGGAAAAGTTCAACTCCACTCCGTCGCATTTGGATGGTCTTGATGCGGAAACCGAAACGGACTTGCGGATACTGGGATGCGAACTTATACAGACAGCTGGTATCCTCCTAAAATTACCACAGGTAGGTTTTCGTGCGTCAATAATCGGAATCTATTTCGAATTTTCCTAATCTCAATGTTTTAGAAAATCTTATCTCGGAAGTGTAATCTACTTCCTTAAGAGTCTTTGCATTAATTAATTGTTATTTTAATTTTGCACATTTAATTTTCGAAATGTACATACGATTATCATTACTTAATTCTATCGATTTAAATTGTTGCACAATTTAACTGTACATTTGTGTGTTTAATAATTAGTTTACATATATGTTTAATTTTTTACAAGTAAAGCTTCACACACACACACACGCACACACACTCACACACACTCACACACACACACACACACACACACAAATTAATATTATTGAAACAATATATGTACATTGTATTAAAAAAGTATTTGAATTATAGATCTTAAATCCTATAAATTCAATATTTACATTGAATATTATTTTGCTTAATAAAACATTTAAGATAATTTTATTTAGAAATATATTGTATATATATAATCTACTTTAATTTTTTATATGAAAAGCTTTGCTATTGCTATTACTTTAACCCTTTGCGGACAGAACTATATGTTCACTTACAATTAGTACAAAACTGACAAAAATAGCTTAAGGTGTATGTATTTCCAGAGTCTGGATTTCCAGAGTGGCTAATATAAACAAATGAGAATGACGACGTGCACTGGATATATGTCGACATGTGTCGCACAACAAAATCAAAGTGTGGCAACGGAATAATATCTCTGCTTGTGTCCCTAAAGGGTTAAATATTGTTGATATATCATAAATTTTGTTACAGAATGTCATGGTCTAATCGTCCTTTTGGTCTTTATATTTATTTGCGTAGGTTGCAATGGCTACAGGACAAGTAATATTCCAACGATTTTATTATAGCAAATCTTTAGTTAGACACAATATGGAAACAACTGCAATGGGTTGCATCTGCTTAGCCAGCAAAATTGAGGAAGCACCTAGGCGTATCAGGGATGTCATTAACGTTTTTAATCATATAAAACAAGTATCCAGCCAAAAGTAAGTTACTTTATTATTTTGGTTTTATAAATAATTAAGATCATAAAATTGAGGAACAGAGAAAGAATTAAAAGAATTCATTTTTGTTATTTATTTCAGAGCAATACAACCTGTAATTCTTGATCAGAATTATGTGGCTTTAAAGAACCAAGTGATCAAGTCAGAAAGAAGAGTGTTGAAAGAACTGGGTTTCTGTGTTCATGTAAAACATCCTCACAAGATTATAGTTATGTATTTGCAAGTGTTGGGATATGAGAAGAATCGCACGCTAATGCAGCAAAGCTGGAATTATATGAACGACTCATTGCGTTCTGACGTGTTTTTGCGTTATCAGCCAGAAACAGTTGCTTGCGCATGTATTTATTTAGCCGCTCGTCAATTGCAGCTGCCTCTACCAACGACACCCGCTTGGTTCTCGGTGTTTAGAGTCAGCGAATATGCAATCAGAGATGTATGTCGACGTATACTACGTCTTTACTCACGACCGCGTGTACGACCCGAACAATTAGAAAAACGCGTCGAGGAATTGCGACGTCAGTATGAAGAGGCCAGAACCAAGGCACGCGGTGGAGACGTTGACGGGCATACACCGAGTCCACCGTTGCCAAAACATCACAATGCCTGGGGTGGATTTATCAGTCGCAGCGGCACACATGCAGCCCCCGAAAGAACGAAATCACCCAGGTATGATAGTGTTTTCACTCGAGTAAAAACATCAAATAAGAATAAATATATTCAATCCATAACAAGCGAAATGGTTCATATCTCTAATGCATCACATATCACATTCATTAAATTTGGCAATGTAATGCATTAGTGAAACGGACTATCATATAAGATGATACTTGTGACAGCATCACATTTTGCACCCAATGGGTGCATTCCAATATTCACTGTCAGCTGAAAAAATCTATAGCGTACATAATGTATACTGTATAGTTTCAATACTGACAGTGAATATCAGAACACTCCCAATAAGAACAATGTTAAACAATAACTTTTTAAGATTATTGGTGAGATGAAAGTAGTTACAAATAATTAAATTATCATCGTACTGAAGAGTATCCTAGGATTGAAACATTATGTAATTTTCTAACATTATCAATTATTGTATAGATAGTAATAATTTTTACACATTGACTTCTTGTGTTGGCTCAATTTAAAGACATTTATTATTTTATTAATTCATTCATTAGAGCCTAAATTGACTTTTAAATTATTAAGATAAATGTATACTATATTATGTATAAAAAATTACTATAAATTATTTTTAAAGGTATATATATATACCATACATAGTATAGGATAATTATATCGAGAGATTCGTATTAGTATACTTCATAGTAGTATACTTCATAATAATGTACTTTCTTCATGTAATTATACAGTTGTTACAGTAAGAGTTTCATGCTATCTTTTTCTAATTTGATTTATAAAAATCAACAATGCGAGCAATATATTATTCATAAAATTTTATATTGAATTTTACAACATGGATATTTATAATTATGAAAAAAACCTTGTCATCGATACACTTTTAAATATCTTTTGATATATTTCAGACGCTCAAAATCTCCAAGTACTTCCCCATCACGAGGCGAAGAAACAAAATATTCAAATAAGCGAAAAAGGCATAGCAGAAGTAGATCCCGAAGTCACAGTCATAGTAGATCTAGCAAACCCAAAAAGACTCAACGAAGACGATCAGGTAGCCACAAGTCATCACGAAGATCGCGTAGTTATAGATCACGAAGTCGATCTCGGGATAGGGATTTGGAGAAATCAAGCAAACATCGTAGTAAACGTAGTAGACGATTACACTAAATACTAATGTGTAGTCAGCACTTTTACATTATGTTGTGAGATATCATAAGCTTAGTTTACATCGCGCACTTAATACAGGTATTAACTAGTAACTTTATATTGAATTATCTTAATTTCGGCGATACATGTAAACATATACATGATATGTGTATCTAATTAATCATTTTGATACATATTGTATCAATTTAGTGCATCATTGAATATATTGCTGAAATTAAAATAATTTGATAGAAAGTTAGCATCTGTATCAAGTGCACAATGTAAAATAGGTCATAATTTAAATATTGTAATAAATTTACAATATACAGCAGAACTTTATCAGGCCTACTGTAATTCTTTTAGTATATTTTAAAAAATTAATACTCGGTTTTTCGAGATTATTTTGAATTTCGCATAATTACTATCAATAATCATACATTGCTTTTTCACAAGCTAGCTTTAATATTTTCATTATTTATATATAGGAATATAATTTGTATTAAAAATTATTAAATGAGATCGAAAAAAAAGATTGTAATTTTTTTTTAAATACTAAAATATGTAAAGCATTTTTTATGTTTTGCATGAGTTCGTAGAAATTTATCTGGAAAAAAACAAAATATATTTAATATTCTATATATATTAATATGTACTTCTTTTTATAAATTTTTATAATATCTGACAGAGATCTATAAACAAATATGTTTGATAGGCACAAAGAATATCAATATTTATGATTCCATAAAAATTACAAGCATCTTTCTTCATCTTGATCGCTTATCATTATTTATTATAAGATTAAATTTCAAAAATTAGATATTTTTAGAAGAACATTAATTTCATATGTAATTATGTTTCATGTAAAGTTGCCATATCTTTAGTAACAAGTAACATGATATACAATGTTACAAAAAACTTATAGAAATAAAATATTAGGAGAATGTATATCAAAAAAAAGTATTTAATGGTATAAAAATAAATTTTATATTCGTATCCCAGATTGTATCATTTTAAAAAATCTTATGGGCAGCGCCTTTTTTTTTTCAGCAGCAATCACTGGCGAGAAATCTAAGACGAGTAACTGTGGCAGCAGATGTACGATATAACCCCTGTAGCAAGGAACGTCTTCTATCGGATTACCGTGTAACGTTAACGACCTGAGATTTTGTAACTTCCTGAGCTTTAAAATATCTGTAATATTTGCAATTTTATTGCCGTGCAAGTAGAGAATCTTCAAGTTTGTAAACTTCTCTATTTCTTCTCCAATCTCGTTTATTTCATTGAAAGACAAATCCAACCAACTGAGATACACAGGATTATCAAGAACTCTATCCGTGAGACGTTGAAGACCTTCCATTGAGCTCAGTCGATTATTGCTCAGCCACAACGTACTGGTTATGTAACGATCCTTAAGTGTTCTTACGGGAGCTTTTCCAGTACGTATTATTTGTGCACGTTTTTCCATCAATTCTATCAAAAGAAAAACAAAGAGATACATTTTTCTGTGAATGAGTTATTAACGCTCATAAGAGTTAGTTTGCGATAAAAAATTGTCAATGTGCGCCATCAACTCGCAAAATAATAAATTAAAAAATATTCCTTTAATTTATGTACCGTCCATTGTGGTAGCCTTTTTAAATGATAAATCTAACGGTGGAGCGACCAGCATTTCCTGCTGTTCGTTTCGTTTGTAATCCGAAATATGATTTTGAGAAGAATAATTAGTGTTCATTGCGGATAATTGAACTTGATCTCTCTATTAAATAGCCATCACTTTTATCACTTCGAGAAACATTTGAAGTTTGTATCTCGCGGCTTACCGAAAGTTTCATTTTAATTCGCCACTTCCGTAGCGGGATTCTCTAAGGCCGGAATCAGACTATGCATTGAAGATTGAGATTAAAGATTAAATGAGTCCTCATTGGTGAAATTTTAATCTTTAATCTCAATCTTCAATGCATAGTCTGATTCCGGCCTAAACGTCTTCTCGACGATTGTCGTTATCGGTAACTAACGACAGCCAATGACAGGACAATCCTGGAAGAAAGCGCGGCTGTCATTGGGTGTCGTTAGTTAATGATAGCGACAATTGTCGATAAAACGTTTACAGAATTCTACAACTAGACGAGTCACTAAGGGGGCTTCGCACAATAAAAGGAACAGGAAATAGAGAACAGAAGATAAGAATTTCAACCTATCAAAAATTCATGTATTGTGGAATACACAGTTTCTGATAGATTGAAATTCTTAGAGGCTTTGCACAATAAAAGAAACAGGTAACAGAGAACAGAATAAGAATTTCAACTTATCAGAAATCATGCTTTGTGGAATACACGGTTTCTGATAAGTTGAATTCTTATGTCTGTATTCATAGTCAGGCCTTATATTTAAAGCTTCCTTAAATTTATCTTCAGATACTCTACGAATTATTTCATTGGCTACTGAGCATCTAAAGATAAATTCAAGGAAGCCTTAAGTACAAGGTCTGACTATGAATACAGCATTATTCTTTGTTCTCTGTTCCCTGTTCCTTTTACTGTGCGGAGCTCCTTGGGGGAAATCACATGGTGCGGAAAACGACTGCGGAATAGAAGCAACCAATCAGCGTTCTTCTGCGTTATTCCGAATAGTTCTAATTGGTTGTTTCAATAACGCATTCTTTATTCCGCAATCCTATTCCGCACTGTGTGATTTCACTCTTATTTTCTGTTCTCTGTTCCTTTTATTATGCGGAGTCCCTAATGGTGGTGCTGAAAATTGCCTGCATCTTTTTAAGAGGGAGGGAGAATGGTTTTGTTCACGATCCGCGCCTAGTCGGTACGTGTGTGATCATTGTCGGTAAACAAATTGAATTGAGTTGGTAACGGTCGCTTATCTTAGTTGGGTTACATTCGTCAAAAGTTAGCCACTAAAGAAAAAGAGGAAGAAGGAGAAAAATAGTTTTTCAACGCATCACACGTACGAGAGATTTATCTATTGACGTACTTGACGTAACGTGCATTAAAATGCCAAGAACCAAGCGCAACAAAGCGACGAGCAACTCGATGAAGGAACGCGATGCGGCGGTAAAGACCTTCGAGAAACGCACACAGCTCTCTATCGCTAAGATGGAACGCGATGCAATGGCGGATTTAAAAACCTACGTGACTTGTATCGATGTTATAATTTCCCGCTTACCAAAAGACATTCGTCAAATGAAATTGGGCGAGTTAATAGATAGGCATGACCATGACAATGAAAAAGAAAACTTTAACGATGAGGTAAGTTCATCGGTCAAGGATCTTCATATGCAACCACCCGCCATTCCTAAAGTGAGAAAAGGGAAAGCTACTAAACGTACTGCTGCATCTGACGACGGATATGCGACCGGAGGTACTAGCGTGGGCAGTACATCACGCGCTAAAGCACTGGTTAAAGCAACACCAGCCAAGCGAACACGTTCAACTAGAGCAAGCAGAGCCAAACTCAGTGAAATTAATCAGACAATGGTAAGCTCAAATGCAAAGATCATCTTTGCTAAAGAAACAGTCTTTATTAAGCAATAATTTTCAGACACCAGCAATGCCGAAGCCTCTAAACAATGTATATAATGTCGTTACACCAAAAGTCAAGCCTAATACACCATTGAACGTATTAAGACGTCCGCGTCAAGGAGAAATGGTTCTCAGTATGCAAGGCAGTCCACTCTTGGTCTCTGCTGTCGTCGAGGAAAAAACTGCTAATATTAATGTACCTTTGAGTAATGGTAACGTAATGTCCTTATTACCACAAGAAGGATTGCGCATGTCAAATATTCCTCCACTAGATCCTGAGACAATGCATCAATTAGAGACTCTTAAGAATCATATTGAGAAAGTTATCTCGTTGAAGTAGTAGTTAATATTATTCGATGCGATAATATATTATGACGAACAATAAAAAAATACTTTAGTGAAATATAATAAATTATACTTATAAGATTTTTTATTATTTTTATACATTTATATATATATATATATATAGTTATATTCGTGCGTGAGAAGAAAAAGATGATGTGTATCACTGACAGGATACTTTTAAAGACTGGCTCTAGTCAAATTTTTATGACATTGATAAAAATTTGCAATTATTAACATAAATTTGGATAATATATCATTAAATTTATGATTTTTTATTATGTAAATGCTGTATAAATAGGTGCACATACTTTTAATACTATAATATCTTGCATGTTGCCGAAAAATTACAATTTTTCTCTACAGTTATCTCTATTGCTAATCAAACTCAAATAATCAATATTAAAAATCGGGTAAGTAAAATTATTAAGTTTTATTTTCGGCCGTTTTTAGTAGTATCTCGTCAGTGTATGTATAATATTTATGTAGCCTTTCTCCCCTTGTTGAAATCTTGTAATAAATATCTATTGGATAAAATATAGTTTTATATTATTTTCTGAAAGTTAGCATTTTTTGGTGGAAGAGAAATAATTCATTAATAATTAATTCATCATTCATTGAAGAGAAATAATTCATCAGAAATAATTCATACGATTGAAAATAATTATAAGATAATTTTTTAACAAACTTATATTGTATGTTAGTTAAATTCTAATCGGATATCTGACGTCTTACGTTGTGTGAATTGTACAGATGGTGACAGATGTGCCTTAATACTTAAAATTGTACGAGTATTGGAACATAATTAGAATACGCTCTCTATTTAGATAATTTACGAATATCTATAGACGGAGAGCGTGCTTTGAATATTTCCTAATACTTATACAATTTTTAGGTGTTAAGGCATATCTGTCACCGTCTGTACGTTGATGAAATGATATAAGATGAAGCGCTCCGCTGTGGATGCGTAGTAGAATAAATTTGGGTAACATTTGATTGGTTATTCCAGTATAATCAAGACTATTATACGTTAAAAAATGCATATTGAGACACATTTGATTGGTTATTTCCAGTATTGCTGCTGCTATCATACTGCGCAATGCTTCATTCCATCATAGTCTGTATTACATGAGCTGCACCTGCAGCAAATGCATACGGTGACCAATCTCTAGCAGGGTTGCGACAAAATAATGGCTGAGAGCATTTGCGACATGTCGCAAATTAGACGATTTTCTTTTTCCCGGGCATGTCGCTCTCGGCCATTTTTTGTCGCAAATTCTTATTCCAAGTCGCCTAAAAAGCGACATGTCGCCTAATCTGGCAACCCTGATCTCTAGTAAGAAATTATTAAGTAAAATTCAAGATATACCTAGAAACCCTTAAGGGAGAATCTGGCCACCAACGAGATATTATTAAAGACCGATATCCTTACGAGAGTTCGCGTCCTTGTGAATATTGAAGTGATTAAAAGTTAAAAACTGATAATATTGTACTAATTCTGTGATTTATTAATTTAATAGACGTATTTATGCATTTAGAACTTAATAATACTCGACTTTTCTTTAAAATTGTGATTTCAGTGTATCGTAAGATTATCAACCATGGAGTTATAGAGAATAGGAGGCCGAACTAGGCTTTGAAAAGTGTGATCAAAATTAGGCTTCTGAATTGGTACTGGTGATGTTCGGTAAGCGGCGTTCGAATCGCAAAACTTCTCTCATAACGCACACACAACCGAACATACATAAGAATAGAGACATTATTCTTTGACATCATGCTCTGATAGTAAGGGGTTCCGCACAATAAAAGGAATAAGGAACAGAGAATAGAGAATAAGAATTTCAATCTATCAGAAACTGTGTATTCCACAATAGATGATTTCTAATAGATTGAAATTCTTATTCTCTGTTCTCTGTTCCTTTTATTGTGCGAAGCTCTTAAGGCTGGAATCAGACTACGTATTGAAGATTGAGATTAAAAATTGAAATTTAACCAATCAAAACAATAGGAGCTAATGCCTGTATTCATAGTCAGGCCTTATATTTAAGGTTTCCTTAAATTTATTTTCAGATATCGTACGAATTATTTCATTGGCTGCTGAGACCTAAAGATAAATTTAAGGAAGCCTTAAGTACAAGGTCTGACTATGAATACAGGTATAAAATTCCTTTATTCTCATAGATCAAATTTCTATCTTCAATTTCAATCTTCAATGCATAGTCTGATTCCGACCTAACAGGAAGACGTAAATTGTTATTAAAACTGCATAAAGAATGTAGCATTCTTCATGTAAAATTGGTATGATTTACTATGCAAATTGCGAGAACGGTGTGGTAGAATGAAAGCGACATTTCAATCGAACTAATTCAGATGACCACTTTTAATCTAATAAGAGTCTAATAAAGAGCCAAAATTTCATCAGTAGGAAATATTAATAGGAGAGGGGAGATGTAGAGAATGTAATTATTTTATTAATTTTGTTCATATTGGGTCATCTAAAAAGTATCCGCGGTTTTTTGTCACTAGATGTGTGTTGATGGTCATATATCTAGTGACAAAGTACCGCGGATACTTTTTAGATGACCCAATATTAACTAATTTTTGTGCACATTTTATCGATAATCATTTTTTTAACAGATTTATTTAATAATTGCGTTTAAATCAATTAATTCTATTAAAAAGTGTATAGAAATGTATAGTAATGTGAGTTTGTTACTAGCCCGTGCCGCAAACTGCTCCATGTAATATCAGTGAAAGAAATAGGCGGTATTACGGAATTTCCTAGTTGCCTAGTTAGTTATTATTAGTTACTGTACCGCGTACCGCGCTCCATGTAATCGCATTCTTAAAGCGCGTGATCATCTATAATGAACGCAATCATATGCTTATATGGCGATAAAAATGTCGGCCGGAAACAATGATTTCCATATGACAGCCATATTAAATATTAATTCTTCATTTCCTATATCATAGCTATGAAGATTACAAATGCTGATAACGCTCGGAACAAGAGGAAAGATTGGTGGCTCTGATATCAGCGAAAGAATAGACGGTTCATGGTACACAGTTTCCTAGTTGCCTAGTTACTATTAGTTACTGTACCGCGTACCACGCTCCATGTAATCACACCCTGAAATAGATGTTGGAGACATTCTCCGGAGATGTTCTCCGATAAAAAGTAACATCAGGATGAAAAGTGAAAAGTTTTACCGTTAAAATTAATGGAGAAATTTTTCACTTTTCACTTCCCATCCTAGGGATAAAGTTTCATGATTAATACCCAGCTTTAGTTGGAATCCTGCAAAGTTATACAATGGTTAATGGCTCCTGCACACTGGACGCGGAAATGTTTAGCTCGCGCAAAATGTGACGCGATAACCAATAAGCTTACAGCTCTTAAAATGTTCATTAATTATCGACGTTGCATTTTGCCGTGTCCAGTGTACAAAAGCCGTAAGTTAACTAGAGCTTGATAAAGTTATCCTTATAAAAAAAACAGGAACATATGGCTGTTTTATGGGCGTCAACTCTTTGTGTGGAATCAGCCATTAAATTACGTTACCAATGATCTTATACTTTATAAAATAAAGACACATCTAAAATATTCGTATGTACGGGACAAAATCTCCGGTTGTAAAAATTTTCATTTTAAATCATTTGTATTTCGTATGAAGAGTTATGAAGTACCATTAAAAGCATTTGTGAATCATCCAGACATTTTTAATTAAATATTAAAAAATTTGACCGAAATATATTGTAGATATAGGCGCTACGGTCAAGGAAATTCATTAGACACGATAGGTAGTCTCTCTAGTATTTTGATATTCCAGGATGTATTATGGAATTGCTTTCGATCGGAATTATTTAGTTTTCTTAAGTTTCTTTTAAAAAAACACAATAGAAATGTAGGAAATAATTTAATTATTTTGATCGGAATCCATTCCGAATTCTATTATACGTTTTCTGGTTGTTATTCGATCAACAAGATGGATGAGTAACTAACATTGTAAGACAAAATTCTTTGCATCACTCTCTGTAATAGACAAATCTCAAATGCTATTGTCATAGGATTTAATTGTATCAAGTTTTGAAACATAATACAGAAATTGTTTTATTGTAAATTTTAATCGTCACTCCTTCAAAATATTGTGAAGTGTCTGAACGTATAAGTTAAGTTTAATTTTATATATAATTTAACAAAACTGACATTAGATAAAGAAGATATCATCAAGCATGATTATGAGATGAGATATGTATACAACTACATATGTTCTCTATTAATTAAAAAATGCAATAATCAAGATGACTATGCAATATGTCTAATAAAAAATAATACAGAAATAGGAACAGGTAATGCTGTACAGTTTCAATTATATTTTTATACATTAAAGTATATTATCGTAAGTCTGATAAAGAAATTAATTTTTTTATATAAACAGGAAGGTTTCCTCCAAAAGAGGATAGATCCTTCCTTAGATAATGAATAAAAAAGAATTTTGTTTAATTTTATTGGTGATGATTGTCTACATGGAATTGATCATACAGTGACAGTTATGCATTGTGATTATAATGTAGAGACTAATTCATACCCTGAACTATTTTCGCATGTAAGTAGTTTTTAAAAAATATATTTATATCAAGTGAATAAAAATATTTTAGGGTGATCAGCAATGTAACTTATTTATAGTATGGAAGATTGCGTTAGCTTGTGTACTAGAACCCAAACAAATTGTATAGTTGTAAGGTTGACATTATTATGATCTAAGTCCTTTAACAAGAGCTTCAGAAAATTATATGATTCTTTTGTGTATAAAAAATAAAACATATTGAATATCTATTAGGTGTTGGAATTAATTCGTAGCGTTTTTTAATGAAAGAATGTTATTTATTTCACATGAGCATTAAAAAATACATTAATGAAAGTACTTCCCATCACTTGTAAAACGCTACGAATTAATTCCAACACCTAATATAATAAGATAAAACAAAAATCAATTTATTTTTAAAGTAAAAGATTTTCTGTTATACAAAAATTATACAATCAAATATACAACAAAATCAAATTATATAGATTATATTTACATATATTATATTTACATTATAATTAATTTGAATATAAAATCTGCTTGTTGATACCTATCCAGTGTTAACAACTGTACAATTTGTTTGGGTTGTAGTACACAAGCTAACGCAATTTTCCATACTATAAATAAGTTACGTTGACCTAAAATATTTTTATTCACTTGATATAAATATATTTTTTAAAAAACTACTTACATACGAAAATAATTCAGGATATGAATTAGTCTCTGTATCATAATCACAATACATGACTGTCATATGATTGATTCCATGTAGACAACCATCACCAGTAAAATTAAACAAAATTCTTCTTTATTCATTATCTAATTTTGGAGAAAACCTTCCTGTTTATATAAAAAAAATTAATTCCTTTATCAGACTTACGATAATATATTTTAATCTATAAAAATATAATTGAAACTGTACAGCATTACCTGTTCCTATTTCTGTATTGTTTTTTATTAGACATATTGCATAGTCATCTTGATTATTGCATTTTTTAATTAATGGAGAACATAATTGCATACCTATCATGTCATAATCATGCTTGATGATATCTTCTTTATCTAATGTCAGTTTTGTTAAATTATATATAAAATTAAACTTAACTTATGTTCAAACACTTCACAATATTTTGAAAGAGTGACAATTAAAACCTACAATAAAACAATTTCTAATTTTTATATTATGTTTCAAAACCTGATACAATTAAATCCTATGACAATAGCATTTGAGATCTATTACAGAGAATGATGCAAAGAATTTTGTTTTACAGTGTTACTCATCCATCTTGTTGATCGAATAACAACCAGAAAACGTAGAATAGATTCCGATCAAAATAATTAAATTATTTCCTATATTTCTATTGTGTTTTTTTAAAGAAACTGTAGGAAAACTAAATAATTCCGATCGAAACTCATTCCAAGCAATTCCATAATACGTCCTGGAATATCAAAATATTAGAGAGACTACCTATCGTATCTAATGGAATTTCCGTGACCGTAGCGCCTATATTTCGGTCAAATATATGATATTTTAATATTTAATTAAAAATGTCTGGATGACTCACAAATATTTTTGATGGTACTTCATAACTTTTCATACAAACGATTCTATATATAAATTTTGTTGAATTCAGATCCGGTTAATTATTTCGGTCAAGTACATGGTCCAAAAAAGAATGATTAATTGTAATTAATAGAATGACTCACAAACCTTTTTATTTGCACTTCAAAACTCTTCGTATGAAATACAAACGATTTAAAATGATAATTTTTACAACCGGAGATTTTGTCCAGTCACGTATCTAAAACTATATATTGTATATCGATAAAAATCTTGAGAATACTCAAATATGATTTGTTCATTTGTTCGTTGCTATTAAGATACGTTTTCATGTCGATGCTCATTCTCGGCGTCAAAAAATGAGTTGCGTGATAGAAATTAATGAATATCAAGTGTCAAATTTGCTCACGTGATCTATTTGACACTGAAAATGAGTGTCGAGCGTCAGCATAAAAAGGCACTTTAAGAGTCTTATATATAAGAAGCGACATTCATCCCCACTACCACCTCTACATATGCCATATTTGCCCACTCCAGTTAATCAGTTCCGTCATACTTTATTTACTCCATTATAAGAATCATGAACTCCGTTAGGATAAGGTTAAACAAGTATTAATGTGTTTGTGTTTTCTTATTGAATAACGAAGCGCTTAAGTAATGTAATTACAAATGTCACATAAAAAGATAAACCGCATATTGCATATCTATTTTAGGTATGTGTATGTACCAGTTCAGCTATAGACAGCTGTAGAAAGAAACATATGATAGTTCTCCATTGCGGACATAATATAGCTGCTTTAATTAGATAGGAGTATCACCAATCAGAAATCGCGATGTTAATGTTGCTTCTCTCATATATATAGAATTCTAAGGCTACATTTCATGTTGACGACGATTCATCTCAACGCTCGATTCAAATGTCAAAACAGGTCACGTGAACAAAATTTACGAATACTAAGCATCAAGTTTGATCACGTGACCTATTTTGATGCTGAAAATGAGCGTCGAACGTCAACATGAAAAAGCACTTAATTGCTATACTAGAGAGTCTCAATATGATGAAAGAGATAACATAATGTGTTCAGTTGTAGAATACCTATAATGGGTGCTTTCCAATTGCTTAACATATCCTAATACAAATGTACACAAGAATGCACAAAGTGTAACATTATGCACTATTCAATTGGAACAGAACGTATATGTTGTGCACGATTGGATCCGTTTCAAATAGTTAAATTAAATGTAGCTTTTTCTGCCTACATTAAACATAAAAAAGTAAAACTGATCTGAGAAGACTCAAGTCTTCTAGTCTTATTTGAGTCTTATATCCATGATGCTAGAAATTAGTTCAAGACCTCGGATGAAGAAAGAATTGACCAATTGCAATGGTCATGTAATCAAATTGTTCAAATGTAATTTGTTATTTTAAATTGTTCAAATGTAATTTTTTCTCTGTCCGAGATCTCGGACTGATTTCTAGCATCGTGGACACGAGCTTTATAGCCGCCGCAGTTAGTAACCAGAAAACACAAGCTTACACAGCCCTTGAGTATCCAGTCAGAAATGATAATGGAATCGACATTGAATCGGTGATTCGAAAACATTAAATCAATGTCGATCGACATCGAATCAACATCGATGTCAATTCCATTATTACTTCTGACTGGGTACAGATGTGTAGTGTTGTGTCGACAATATTTGAAACGCAACATTATATCGCCGTGTGCACGAAAGTGCATATCTAAGGATATTGCAATTGGAAAGCACCTAATGGGTGCATTCAGTACAACCGCACACTGAACGCTCAGTGAATTCTTGCATTTGATTGATCTACATTTTTAGATCTAACGGAATATAGATTGCAATTAGATGCAAAAGCTCACTGAGCGCTCAGTAGTGTAGTACCGAATGCACTTAATAAGTACTGGTACCATGCAGCGGAATAGCGTAATGGTTCCGGCACACAAGGCGCGATGTTCGTCGAGCGCGACACGCGATATCCAGTGAGACTATATCTTTAGAATGAAAACAATAAAGCTATATACTCATTGAATATCGCATGTCGCGCACGACGAACATCGCGCTAATGTGCCAGAGCGGAGGTATAAGAATACGATTATATGTAGTGCAGTACACGGTACATAGTACAGAAACTAACTAGGTAACTACAGAAACCGCGCAAACCATGCCGCTTATTTCTTTTCTCCTCTATTACATGTAACGTGATAAGCGGCACGGGCCAGTGACAAATTCACATTACTAAGTACTTTTTAATAGAATTAATTAATTTAAATGTAATATTAAGTAAATTCATTGAAAAAATAAGTGTTGATGAAATATGCATAAAAATAAGTTAATTTATATAAAAAAATTCATATTAAAGTTTATTTGTCATTAGCCCGTATCGCTTACTACGCTTCATATAATAAAGAAAAAAAGAAGCAAGCGGCACGGTTTGCGCGGTTTCTATAGTTACCTAATTAGTTTCTGTACTGCGTACCCTGCTACATGTAATCGTAATCACCCTAAGGGTGAAATCACACAGTGTGGAATAGGATTGCGGAATAAAGAATGTGTCATTGAAACAAACATGATGAAACACTGAGTGCTATTCTGCATTTGCGGAATAACAGTGCGTTATTGTTCTTATAATAAACCATCGTATTTTGAGAAGTTAAAATAATTTGATGCTGATTGATATGATGGAATTGCGTAATATCGAGATAAATGAAGCAAAATGACAAAATCTGAGTGCATAAATATAGATACCAAGATAAAAAAAACGCGAAACGAGAGCGGAACCAATCACAAACGTTCCGCACCTGTTGGTCTCTTTTTATGGATGTTATCATAAGAGACAAAGGTTACTAACGCGAAACATGGATATTCATATGGCTCCTGGACGCGGAAACGCTTGCCGCGCGGCAAAATGAGACGCAATAACCAATGGACACATTAGAAGCTGTAAGCTTATTGGCTACCGCATCACATTTTGCTGGGCGGCAAGCGTTTCTGCGTCCAGTGTGCAGAAGCTAATAGTCTGTTTTAATTTTAAAACTGTTTTAAATAATGAGCGCATTCAAGTTGACAAAGCGGCTAGCCTGCTCGCCGAGCAAATGAACATAATTGATTGTTATAGATCTAATCAATCATATTCAATCGCTCAGTAGCTTCTTTGCCGTCTTGAATTCGCTCAATGTTTTAAGCTTGTTTTACAATGTGCTTTTGCTTCCTATTTCTTGCTTTTTGTTATTTTTTACATCTTGTCTTTTTGCTTCTTATCCGATTTTTTGTTTTATATTGCTTGAGATAAAAGTTAACAAATTTCGAAAGAAACAAGAAATACGTAGCAAAAAATACAATTGTTGATAAAACGGTTGCAAAGGAAAAAAAAGCAAATGATAAAAAACAAGAAACAAAGAGCTCAATGTAGAATAGGCTTTTAAGATGCTAATATCAGAGAGAAACCTGAGAGAGAACATAACAGCCCCCAACCTGTAACTGCAAAATGCTGCCGCGCACTATCGCTCTCTGAAGAAGTGTTAATTACACAACAATATTCACCTTTTTGCAGTGCTTCTAATGGAAATAGATAATAATTGAAATCGCTAAAATAACTAAAATATATAATATAAATTAATAAAGATTTCAACGATTTATGCGTATTTTCATATACACGAAGATATACACACATAAAATAAACGAAATTAAGCCTATTCAATGAGTTTTTACATGAAATAAAAGAATCTGAAATAAATATTAGGTTGGTGCATATGAAATGTCAGATTTTTAAGTGAATATATAAAACTGCATATCTTTTTTCAAAAGCTATTTATTTAATCAAAATATGCTCCATTTGTTTCAATACACTTTTCCCAACGAGATTTTAAGATGCATAGATGCCTGTCTTAAAGAAATTCTGATCTTTAGAATCAATAAACTCTGATATGAAATTTTTCAGTCTTCATTTTCTGTCTTCATTTTCATACTGTTTAGCCCGTAAAAACTATTCTAAATGTTTAAAAAAATGAAAGTCGGTTGGCGAAAGATCCGGTGAATAAGCTGGGTGTTGCAAAATTTCATATTTTAATTCATTTAATTTCGCAATTGTTTTGTACGACGTATGCGGCCGAGCGTTGTCATGGAGAAGTATTGGCCATGCCGATTAACAAGTGATGAGCATATAATTTTCAATTTTTCATGCATTTCATCAATGTACTGGCAGTACTTTTCGGCTGTAATTGTCTCCCCAGTTCGAAGGAATGAGTAATGAATTACTCCAGTCACATTCCATCAAATTGTTATTAAAATTTTCCGTGGATGAAGTGATGGCCTTGAAGTATGAGCACAAGCCTCATTCCTATCAAGCCGAGCACACCTTTTCCTATTGTCGTAAAGAACCCATTTTTCATTACAAATAATAATCCGATCGAAAAATGGCTCTTGATGAAATCGGCCAATGCTTTCAGAGCATCATTTTTCACAGACGTTTTGGGTCTTCCACGCGGTTCATTTTGCAGGGAAAAATCACCAGACCGAAATTT